TTATTGTCGTTTTTGGCTAATGTTAACCTCATAATAAGAACCAACCCCCCGCCCCCCTGAGAATGTCAACCCAAGCCTCCATAATTAAGGGTGTCCGGGACCGTGAGCTGGAACTCCAGTCGTCGTAGCCAATAGTAGTACTGGCCAGTAGTAGTTTTTTTTTGCGTTTTGGCAGGTTGGATTCTGCAATTACCGGGGGGGGGGGGAGTTGTAAATATATTCTGGGATCTGGATTTTGGAATTACGCGAGGTTTTATTGAATTTAGGTGAACATTACTAGGGATACTGTGAAAGCGGTGTCCCCAGAAGTTTCTTGTAGGTTTGCTTTAAGTCCAAACAAGGAGCCGTGTTTAGAGCCCTGTAATTCTTTCTAAGAAGGCCACCTAAGACCTGGAAGGATCCCCTTTGCTAAGCCTCCTGGCTAGTGTTGGGCGGAGAAACAGGCGTTCAAACGGTCGAGCAATTCTTTTGCACCCTGAGGCCAGCTTTAGAGGATCAATAAAGAGCGTGTGATTCACATTTCTTATAGTCTCATGGGCCATTGCTTGCATGAATTTTGCTTGCAAGGTCGGAACCTCAGGCAGCAGCGGTTCACAAAGCTTTCTTGTTCAGAGACATGCTGACATTTCCCATTTGACATCGGAATGCCCGCTACATGAAAGAGCATGGTAACGGCACATTCCGAGGGCTGAAAGGATTGCAAGTGCAAGCGTATGCAAAGTTGCAAGACTTCCCAAGAAACTCAGGGATTGACCAGGCTTGGGCTACAGGACCAAAACCCAAGGCAACTCCAGCGGCGTATTCGCTTTGAGTGACAGGAGAAGTTTCAGAATTTGTTCGACGATTTCCTTGCAAAAAGAGAGGACGGGCGGTAGATGTAAGGATGCAATGTGTTGGAGAGAAGGCCTGCAGCAAGTTCTCCCAACGCTGGAGGATCTGAGGTTGTCGGCTCAGAGGAGCTTGGCAGAACATCAGTGAGCATGTGCTTGCAGAGGGCACGGTTGCATCCATCTTCTTGTGAAGTACAATATGGTGATGTAATGAAAAACGTGAAGACACGGCACGTGCAGGTACCTGTAGCTGCTGGTTGTGGGGGCTTGCATCATACGCATCCAGAACTGCTTTTACCCCATCAACTCAGACACAGAAACTTGTGACAGTAATTGCAAGCGCCAAAGGCATGGTGGACGTAATGCGGACACGCACATCTTAGTATGGATGCCATCCGCTACCCATGCGAGTATCGGCTTACCGTACGGGGAATGCTTACTCACCAAATGCAACATCTAACTCGGAGCATGAAAAGGCCTTCAATGGGAACACAGCGCGTGCGGGTCTTTTGATGCGTCAACTCAGGATTGCAAGACTTCAAGTACGTGAACACTTTTTTTTAATCTTGAAATTGCCGACTAACCTCGCTTCCTCACAAGGTAGGTCAATGAATTCTTGGGCATCTGCTGCTGATTCCTTACGGCCTGAGCTCCACCAAGGAACTCCTTTATCCCCTATGTGCCTCGAAGTCGGGCGTCACATAGGACATTTCTGACCGACTTGATTTGAGCTTAGCTGCCTGATGCTACCGACCTGGTCACTCATAGTTTCGCACCGCATCACCCTTACCGTAGTGCCAGGAGTAGAAAGGACCTGCCTCCCATGACACAGTTTGAGCGCGGTCCCTCAGCTAGCTTCATGTGAGCTGTTGGGTGAGAAGCGTTTGGCAACATTTGGCACGATGTGCGGCAGTGGTTATGGCAAGGAAGAATCTTCTGCAAGATGTTCAGCGAGTACTGAAGGCTTGCACATCTAGAGGTGTGAAGCAGCACCTCAAGCTTGTTGATCCCTAAAATGTAGGGCCTGGCGGCTGACGCACAACCTTATTCATGTAAACTCCAGTCTGCACAGTATTCTACCTTCGGCAGAGAGCCAGCGTTTTCAATCTGAGGGGCAGCAGTGTACGCGCAGGTGCCTGACACGCTACAAAACCCAGCGAGCAATCAATTGGGTCTGCACAGTCAAAAGTTTGTGCAGACCCTCCTGGCAGCGTCTGACATCTACACCGCGCATGGATTTCAGACTTAGTTGGGTTGCTCAAATCAACCTGGTCTTGCGCCCGCAGTGACACAGCGACACCGAATGCGCGTGTCCTTGATCCGCGGGCACATGCCCAGAGCTGCGAACCTTTGATTGATTGGTGAAATTTCAAGTCAGCCTGGGTACCCTTCTCGTAACCTGTCTTGTACATTGTACTCTACCAGGTAAGTACGGTCCTGACTTTGACATGTTTGAATCAATGACCCAAGGCATACACGCAGATGGCAGGGCTGCCTCTTGCAATAGCTGAGCACCATTAAACTTCCAACGTGTGATCTCCGCCACAAATAGTTCCGAGGTCAGTCTTACAGTTCTTGGCCAATACTAGCGATAGACATGCTGAAGCAGCCGTTTTGTGTGCAGAATGTGCAGACCAGTAGTGTGTGTGTGTGTCTGTGGCATTGCCAGGCAAGGCCGAAGGAAAGTTGGATTTCTCTGTCAGCGCCTTAGTTTGATCATCAGCCAACTTCCCCCCCCCCCCGGCCCGGAGATTTAAAAAGATGGCTCAAGATGTTTGGGTCATGCGCCGATTTTTCATTGAGGTGCCTCTAAGTGCGCAGCTTTTTACAGTCTTCAGTGTTTAATAAATCTCGCTGCTTGGGAAATATGATTAGAAACAGATCATATTGAAATCTTTTCCCTGTTAATAAAACTCTTTGGTTTTGTATAAAAAAAAGATCCTGGCTCGACCAGCGGGGTCGAGAACTGTTTGCAAACCCTCTTTAGACAGCTTTTTGCCGGGGGTGGGGATTCCAAGTTCGCTGGTAATCTGACAATGCTACAAGAGCTGCTACAATTTGCAGATGTACCCATGTGCCCTGGCTGCAAATATAGAGGCGTCATTCGTTCGTTGCAGTGGCGCCTGCTCAGCAGGGCTAATGCGCTCAAGACGTGAAACTGCTCTGTCAGTCTTTTTGAGTGCATTTCCACGCCACAGCTCCTGGAAACACCGCACAGGTCGGAGTTGTTTGAGGATCCAGCCATTCGGAGGCAGCGGTCGCAAAAGTTCGTGCGAATCCCTCAAGCTTGTAGAGACTTTACAGTAGCGGCCTGCCCAGGGCACGATGCAAGCTACCTCGAGGGCTCTCCCTGTGGGAGTGGATTTCCTTACGATGCCCGGAGATCAGGACGGTCTGCAGCCCAGCGGCTAACAAAGTGATAGTCTCCGATGCACCTGCTTCAAGTCGCCTCACCCTGATCCCAAAAGTGCCACAACCTATTCTGTCGTAGTGTTGGGGTGAAGGCAGTTTCCGTTCCCTCCAACCCATCCGACCATCCTCCCAGGTTAACGAAAGATCAGACATGCTGCTGCAGATGGCTACCGTTCAGAGCTGAACGTTCTTTGTATGGAGTGACGGCACAATCATTTTGTCCTCTTTTTACGTCTTGCGCAGGAAGGTGGGACATTGAACTCACTGGAAATGACGCTGGAAGAGCGCAAGCAGGAGGTCAGCGCCCTGCTTCCAAATCCAAACGAAGAATCCAATGCAGCTTGTACATGTTGCCCCGCTGCCGACGCAAGGGTCATAGTGGGTGATATCTGCTGCTGATTATTGCCACATGTTCCTGCGAAGTTGTCGTTGGCGGTCTTTGAGACGCTGGCGATCCTGCTGCTCAGTTGCAGCGCCGTTGACCTTCCACAAGCACAGCGCGTTACCTGAGAGTCTGCACACTGCACGTAATCCCCAAGGCAGAGGAACTTCCCGGATGGAGGAGGCCATAACATGGACAAGAATCCACGCACAGATCTCATTTGTCTCAATTCCAGGTCTCAGCCTGGAAGATTTACAGCAAGTCCCGGTGACATGCCCAGCGTCAGCTACTGCAACGTATCGAGTGATGTGTGATTGCTTCGCAAGAAACACTTCAAAGACGCAGTAAGGCAGTTGCAAGACTCTTGGACGCAATGAGACGCAAGAAGGGTAAAGACAGCAAGTTGCGTTTTTGAGACCTCTCTTCTTGGCTTCCCGGATCCTGAGCTGCTGAGGGTTGCAGTTTGGTCGGCCCGCCTTGCAGCAGGTGCCAGGAATAAGATCTCAGCTTCGCTGCTCAGCTTCCCTTTTTACAGGCACTTGGGAGGATGAAGACAGTGAAGGCAAGGGAGCCCACATTTCTTGCTTCAACTTCTGGTTCAATTCGTGTCAAAGAGTCTTGCTGTCTTGTCTTTTCATCATGAAGTGCTGCTCAAAATCTAGAGGTGGTTTCCCGTGCTGATGGTCAGCAAATGGTTCAGCTACGTCCAGTTTGAGCCTTGCAAAAGTCTCGCAAGTGAGTGGTCGTCAGAAGGATTGGTGCAGTTGCGCATGGTTCGAGGTTGCAGAGGTCCTTGGCAAGGCTGGGGACATGGAAAAGAGCAGTAAGCAGATGTGAAGTAGTGAGTAGGCAGCGCTTGCTGTGCTTCCAACTCTGAGGCCAGTGAGCCAGAGAAGCCGATTCTCAAGGAGAAGGAGAAGCCTGGCAAAGAAGCCACCACCACCGCCACGACTTCAGCCACCTCAACCACAATAAAGGCGGCCCCAGCACACGCGCCAGCTGCAAGACCTTTAACGTGCGGCACCCAAGAACGTCCTTCTCGGTCTTTCTCGGCAAATACCACGTTGTTTTATTGGCCGCTGCTTTGGCTCTGCAGTTGCATCCGGCAATCTGGAAAAGCACTGTAGCACGTCTACTTTCTCAGAGTCATTTTGTACTTGATCCAGGCAGCGATAGGGGCAGGAAGAATTCATGTCATATGTTGTTGGCCGCCAGAGTACAGAACTAGCTGCTGGCCCTGCATGTCACCCAAAGGCCATTGGATGTCAATCCTATCGGTCCTATCGCCTGGTTTGATGCATTGTGGCGATTTGTGTTCAGGAAAGCCGCTTAGCCGTTTGGCTCAACATTGCTCAATAGTGCTGTTCGCAAGAGCCATGGCGAAGAAGTCCCCAACTGGATTCCTTCTCTGCTCAGCTTTGTTTCTGTCCACTGCATTCGTCGGGTCTCCCGGCCCGAAGCTTCCTGCACGGCAGCTTAGCGTCCGTAAATCATCCGAAGATGCCGCATTGGCAACCGTGGCTGACGCTGGAGCTTCACCATTGCTGGCTCCACTGAAAGTGGCCAGTCTAGGCATGGGACTGCTGAAGCCCATTTTTGCTGCTGAGGCTAAACTGCAGGCCTTGAGTTACGACGAGGCTGAGATACAAGCAAAGATCCAAGAAGAAGTCAAGTCAGCTCCAGTTGTGGTCTACACTTATGGCCTCTCTCCCTTCTGCACCGAAGCAACGAAGCTTTTGGACTCCATAGGAGCAGAGTACAAAGAAATCCAGCTTGCACCCGAGTGGTTTCTCATGCTTGGGGAGAATGCAGCCAAGCGGGCGGAGCTTGGAGCCATCTACGGCCGAGCCTCAAGTGCAAACAGATGCCTAGACGTACACATGACTTAAATGACTTAGACAGAATACTTCATGTGCACCGCGTGCTGATGATTTTTGAGCTTGCTGGTGAGCGCACTCAAAAAAAGGAACAAGCATGCCGCACATCTTTATTGGCGGAGAGAGCATCGGTGGCCTGATGGAAGGACGGTTCCAGAACCTGAGCACTATGCAACCGTTCAACATGTTCAACCGTTCATGAATCTCGTCATCAATCCGACCATAGACCAGGACCCGGCCTGGTTCCGCTCTACGAGTCGGGCGAGCTCATGAACAAGCTGCAAGCTGCTGGTGCTTTCCCGAGCCAGGCGGGAAAGCTAAGCCGCATAAACAAAACACTGTAACTAAGTAGCCAGCTGGACGGGGGTTCTTCTGAATAAGCAGCGATGAGAGCGCTTCATATTCTCATTTCACGCTGCGTACCAGGATGTACCAGGTCTCAAATACGTTGGTCGAGTGTAGTGCTGCTACATTGGGCATATATGCACTAGGCTTTATACGTATATACTCAGAGAAGAAGCATGGATAATTGGGAACTGGTGAGGCGCTCACACAGAGAGGTTTGCTCAAGATAAGTTCAGGAGTACATCCAGCAATGACAGATTCGAGAGTTGTCTGAAATCCCTTGTCTGCGATTTCTTCAGAGCAAGCGCGGCGCAAGGAACGGCCCAAGGGTTTGACCACCGAACAATAGCTCAGCGCAAGCTATGACGTCAACAGCCAAAAGTCAAAAGTAGACGGCGAATCCCAAGCACGAGTAGCTGTTGGAAGCTTCTGTCATGCCCATTCTGACTCCCTGAATAGCTTTAACGGCGAGAGTGCGGCGGCGTTCAGGAATTGGTTGGTTGCCAGCCAGCCGGGCTATTCATGCTTAATACCAGTAGCAGTATACGCGTTTTCAGTCTGTCAGTGTGACGAGCCTCCACGAAAAGCATTTTGGGCGAACTGCATGCGTGCAAGCATGGCAGTAGCACGGCGCAAGCCCCAATTCGAGATGAAAGACTATTGGCCAAGCCAAAAATGAGCACGGCACTTTACCTTGCCAGACAACTCGCTGAGAAAGCGACACCAGGGCACCATCCAGCATCTTCTAGCTGCTTTTATCAGCCCCACGGCACTCAGCAATTTCATAGCCACGTTGCTCTAGACTGTCAAGCAACATTCAGGAGGAGGCTTCCTGTCCCAGCTTGGAGACACTGCGCGCATTTCCGGTAACATACCTCTTTGCACATTGTTACACTGTGTAGTCCCGCACCGACAGTAATTGCCACTGCGGTAGGAGGAAAGTTCAACCCACAATCTCACATGGCACTTCTCAATGTATGATCCACCTCCGTCAGAGACTCCTGCGGAGGCTCTTTGAGGCCTTTACATGGTGTAAGTCACAGAGGGATGTATGGCCACGGGTTACCCAGCAAAGCGGATGTTTGAGGGCACCTCCATCTGCAAGACACCTTGGTAGGTCGAAACTCCCGATGTATCAGCTCTGTCCACGTAGCAGTGTTCACGTCAGCAAGCACAAGTAATGACGACCAAAGGCTCGCTTGAACATGGCTCTGCATGCTGCTCACCAAACATTCCCTAAACTAACCAGCGTGTTACCCAAAGTCTAGCATGGCATGTGCCCGTGAGGCGAACCTGGTCGTCGCCATGCACGACGTAAAGAATGAAATTGAACGTAAGCAACAAGAAATCAACAAAACCCAATTCCAGCGCAGAGCGTTACAAGTAAGCACATTTAGGAACTACCTAGGGCCTTACAACCGGTGTTCAGGAAAGCCTTAAATGAAAGCCTCATCGCGGTTCAATCGGGCAACAATCGCCCGAAGCCTTGTCAGGTCATGAGGGGGGTTGCGCAACATGTTCGAAGTCGAGGTAAAAGAGAACACCGATACATGATTGCCCCGATTGGCAACGACCCAAAAGACTAGGGTCAGACGCTGCGCAAGTAAGTAGGAGAAAGTTCACAGAAGCCAGGAACGCATGGGGTTGCAACATTACCCCCAGTATTCTGACCAGTATTAGATTCAAGCAAGGATATGCCCACAATTGCATCATCGTCTCTATTTCTTGGAAACTGATAAAGATGCAAAAAAAACAATAACAATGTTCAAGGACACCTAGACCTCCAGGTCCCCTGCGGTAGGCTCTGCCAGCCATGCATAGCCATGCTGTTTCCTACTGTCATTGCCATCGCAAGCAAGGCGCTGAAGAACCTGTGTACAGCCGCAGAGGTGATTCGGAAAAGGCAATTGGGGAAGCCAAGTCTGCTGGCTTGACTGGCCTCAATCAACTTATTTTCACACTGTTAACCCTAAACTCTCATGCTAAGCCCCAAACCCAGACTTCTATCGGTGTGTAGTGCAAGCACAAAGAGGTTTCCAATAACGTAATACTTTCATGTATTACTAGCATGATGTTTGGTGCCGAAACACGTAAAACGACAAAGAGGACAAAACAACGTTGTACAGGGATAGGAGGTTCACCTAGGCGCTATATGTTGAAACCCCACATGAATTCAAGCATGCACAAACACTACGAAGAGCCAATGGCAAATGGACCAGATGAAGATGTCTAGGATACATGCACATTTTGCGGAGCACATTCTGGCTTAGCATCCGCAGGATCCGGTGTCCTCATTTTTCGGATCGCTCCGATGATTCTGCGCGGAGCCCACGCTGGACAACTCTGGACTAGCCTTTAACATGTCCAGCTCTCCAGCTGGTGGGTTGTCATAGCAGTGGCATGGTCCAGCGCAGTTTGCCATGGACACTCTTCAGAGTTCAGTTTTCGGTAGCTCGTTTTCACTTGGCATATACAGCCTGACGTGCAAATGCACGGTCTTCCTCTTGCCAAGCAACCTGTTGCCCGATTCTAGCTGGAAAACGCTAGGGCACACTGGCTGCTCTACAGATTGAGCATTCGTTATACTTCGGCTGGCAGGTAGTCATGCAGGTCCTTTTGGCATGGTCAGCGCCTTGGGCGTGCGCAGCAATAAGACTGTCCATGATGTGCCCTTTGACTGCTGGAGACGCAGATGTTTTCGTTCAAGGCCACTCATTGGATGCGGGCGCATGCAGCCGCGCCATGCAGCACATCTGGATGTGTCATGCGCATAGCTGTCGCGGGACATGCCAGATTGTGTGGACACTTGTTTTCGCGCTACTTGCTCATTGGGTCAGTGCAAATGCTTGCGCTCTTGCATAGCACAGCCGTGTGCGTTGTGTGCTTGATGAAGCGTGAAGCGTCTCAGAGCTTCTTAGTCTGAAGAGAAGTGAGTAGTTCAGGCCACCTCTGACAGGGTGCTGAAGCGGTTTTCAGCCTACCGCCGCAAAAGGTATCTGCAATGATGCGGACCTGACATCTCGACTTTGCAACGCAGCCAATGCCATGCTGTTGGCTTGCAACACTCCACGCATGACGCACGATGCTGATCATCATGGAGGGGGTTGAGGGTTGGTCGTAGTGCTGGTATGTCGAGGTTGGGGTCGGGGCGGTGGCGATGTAGAAATTTTTACAGACATTTGCAACACAGAGGAATCGAATCCGTGATGCTTTTTGTTGGGTTCTATGAATTCCATTTGCTGTTCGATTTGCTGCCGCGCCGGTGATTCTTTATTCACGCTGCAGCTTCAGAACAAGAAGGAAATGAACAGCTGTGCAATCGCACACCGCTTTTGCAGTGTCTCCAGGTTGCGCGTAAAAATGTTACTGTACCAAGATTTGCAGTATGTTCTTCTGTGAAGGGACTGTCGCCCAGTCCACATCAGGTTTCAGCACTGTTGACCTAGTTCAGCAAGAAGTTACAGGCTTTGATTACGTGTGTTGGAATACTTTACGGATGAGTACCACCAGAACAGGGCGACAACAGGTTGTGGCGAGCGCAATCTCTGAGGGTGGGACCATTCTAGCTCAAGGGAAAACAGATGTCCAAATCTTTGCGGACAAAAGTTCTGTACGGAGACCCTGCCAGTGACACTGTGTTTTCTGGGTGAACTTCTGCTGTCTATGTCAGAGTCCGCGAGTGGTTGCCCCGACTCCTCTGCACAGTAGCACACTCTCGATGAGATACCTATGCCCGGAAGTTTGTGCCGGGAACCAGTAATTATCGTTGAGTCCTATCGGAAGCCAGCAATTCCATATGCTCAAAAACACAGTAGATCAATGTAGCAGGAGTCAGAGCTTTGCTTGGCTGCAATTGTGTAGATGCAAATCGACCAGGATGATGCACAGCCGTGAGCTGTGGCAATTGGCGTGGAACTTGTGCATCGGAGCGTTAGTTGCCCCGGCCTTTCCTGCAAGAGACGCTACTGCAATGCTACAGTATCTGCCTTCGTGCATCACATCTCACCCAATTGCAGCCACTCAATTCCGAGTACGGCTTTGACTGCACGTTGTCGATTTGCAAGCTCAGTAGCATCTGCTGAAAACCGATCTTGCGCGAGCCCGTTCAATTTTACAGCATGCTATTGTACAGATATAAGGAAGGGCAAGGCTTACCTGTTGTCAGCAAAAGAACTGCGAGCGCGGAGCTTCTCTGTGAAGTACCATAAGAGTCCGTTGAACTGCAGAGTCCAGGTCCACAGCGTCTCTAGTTCGTCAGACATCGTCCCAAGGAGGGGCCCAGGCTGAGCCCATGCACAGACAACAAGTGCTGGCAGCAGGACACCAGAGTCACCTTCCAGACCGACTGCCCATTACAGCAGCGGCCTTGGCAAGAGCCCGATAAGCATCACAACAAATTCCAGATATGTCTGTGGCGTACAAAGCCATCTGGCAAGTCAAACTTGTCCATTGTCTTGCAAGTTCTCATTTGGCTTCTTACCTCTTGTGCTGCGTTGGAGCCCGTGCTAGCAAAATCTACTGCGTTTCCTAATCTTGACGCCAAAGGTCTAGGTCTAGGCCCTATCCGAACATGTGTTTAATTCTGCTAGATGCCGAAAATCCAACCAAGCCGTCAGACTTTGGAAATTCGAGAGAGCGCTGTAAGATGTCGGTGCAAAGCTTGAGCTTCACATCAGCTTGCAACATGAACACTGCCCACGCCTGCCTATATTCTTTACATGCATTTCCACTTTTTTGTGGTGCGTGCGTTCCCGATGAAATGTGTCGGGCTCAGCTTGGTCCAGCACCAACGCATCTCATCAAAGTTGACATGAGCAGCTTCCTTCCTCCAGTGAAGGTCTGCAGATGGAGCGTTTGATGTACCCTGCACCAAACCAGGCTGTCGGACTCTCTAAGGTACGCTAGCTTCTCAAAAAGGGCTTGCGGCGGCTGTATGTTCTGGTGAGGACCATGCATGTGCACGTTTGCCAGTCAAGAGTGCGACATTGAGGTTGAAGGATGGAGCAGGGTGCAAGACCAGTTCTTCAAAGGCGCCTGGACAGTTTTTGGTGGCCGTCAGTTGTTGTGTTCTTTTGGCTTGATGTGGGGAAGCCTGGTTTTCCGCGATGGCTCTTTGCAGCTTCGAGAGCCCATCACTATGATCGGGCCAGATGTCACTACAGCTACAAGCATCACTACCACTTGTACGTAAGATTGCAATCCACAAAAAATGTTGCAGTTGCATTGTTCCGCACCCTCGCAGTGGGGTTGGTAGATTTTAAAGTAGATGTTGTCCTCGCCCGACTGGAAGCTGACTTTAGTGCCCAACCACCAAGTATCCCTGCAGTGCCCAACCAATGAGTATCCCTGCAATGCTTACCGGATGTGCCCAACCGCAGAGTATCCCTGCAGTGCCGAACCGCAGGGTATCCCTGCAGTGCCCAACCGCAAAGTATCCCTGCAGTGCTCAACCACTAAGTATCCTTTCAGTGCCCAACTGCAAAGCATCCCTGCAGTGCCCAACTGCATATCCCTGCTGTGCCCAACTGCAGAGTATCCCTGCAGTGTTCAACCACCAAATATTCCTGCAGGGCCCAACCGAAAAGTATCCCTGCAGTGCCCAAGCGCAGAGTATCCCTGGAGTGCCCAACAGCAAAGGATCAATCTTGCAGCGCATTTGCAGTGCTGCAAGTAAGACAGTTGAGGGCGGGCAGGGAAACGTTACACTTCTTGTGCAATGACGGCTTTCGGGTGGGGATGCTCGAAGTAAATGATTAATTGAAACAGGGTTGCAATCTTTACAACTGCAGCAGCAGCACTTGCTGCTTGCTGCTGCTGCTGCTGCTGCTGCTGCTGCTGCTGCTGGTGTGGTGGTGGTTGTGGCTGTGGTTGTTGCAAGTGTTGTAGTAGTAGTAGTAGTAGTAGTAGTAGTAGTAGTAGTAGGTCCCCGGCGGGGAAAAAACCCGCCCAGAAACAGAAACACAATGATATCATACAAAGGTATCATAAGGTTTCCCCACTGGGCACCAAAAATATCA